CCCCCGCCGGCCGGGGTGGGCAGGGACATGGGGGTGACGCAGGGACACGGGGGTGACATGGGGACATTGCACGTGGCTCCCGGAGCCGTGGCCAGGGCTTCGTGCAGGAAGGACGGAGCCGGGGTGGTTTTCCCCATCCTGGGGATGCTGCCAGCGGGAGCGGGCGCTGGCGGAGGCGCCCCAGGATGCGCCTCCGCATCCCCCGGCCTTGCCCTGGGATCCACATCCCATGTCACACGTCCCACGTGCCCAGCCCTGCACTGGGATCCACGTCCCACATTCCCATCCTGAACCAGGGTCCACGTCCCCTGTCCCCAGCACCAGGATCTGCATCCCCCATCCCTAGCCCTGCACTGGGAATCCACGTCCCACATCCCGGGCACCAGGGAGCAGGATCCACATCCCAGCCCGAGTCCGGCCTCCACCTCCCCAGTCCCAGAGTGGGACCCTCATCCCCAGCAGCAGAGCCTGGGATCCGCATCCCACATCCCTAGCCCTGCACTGGGATCCACGTCCCACATCCCGGGCACCAGGGAGCGGGATCCACATCCCAGCCCGAGTCCGGCCTCCACCTCCCCAGTCCCAGAGTGGGACCCTCATCCCCAGCAGCAGAGCCTGGGATCCGCATCCCACATCCCTAGCCCTGCACTGGGATCCACGTCCCACATCCCGGGCACCAGGGAGCGGGATCCACATCCCAGCCCGAGTCCGGCCTCCACCTCCCCAGTCCCAGAGTGGGACCCTCATCCCCAGCAGCAGGACTTGGGATCCGCATCCCACATCCCTAGCCCTGCACTGGGATCCACGTCCCACATCCCGGGCACCAGGGAGCAGGATCCACATCCCAGCCCGAGTCCGGCCTCCACCTCCCCAGTCCCAGAGTGGGACCCTCATCCCCAGCAGCAGAGCCTGGGATCCGCATCCCACATCCCTAGCCCTGCACTGGGATCCACGTCCCACATCCCGGGCACCAGGGAGCAGGATCCACATCCCAGCCCGAGTCCGGCCTCCACCTCCCCAGTCCCAGAGTGGGACCCTCATCCCCAGCAGCAGAGCCTGGGATCCGCATCCCACATCCCTAGCCCTGCACTGGGATCCACGTCCCACATCCCGGGCACCAGGGAGCAGGATCCACATCCCAGCCCGAGTCCGGCCTCCACCTCCCCAGTCCCAGAGTGGGACCCTCATCCCCAGCAGCAGAGCCTGGGATCCGCATCCCACATCCCTAGCCCTGCACTGGGATCCACGTCCCACATCCCGGGCACCAGGGAGCAGGATCCACATCCCAGCCCGAGTCCGGCCTCCACCTCCCCAGTCCCAGAGTGGGACCCTCATCCCCAGCAGCAGAGCCTGGGATCCGCATCCCACATCCCTAGCCCTGCACTGGGATCCACGTCCCACATCCCGGGCACCAGGGAGCAGGATCCACATCCCAGCCCGAGTCCGGCCTCCACCTCCCCAGTCCCAGAGTGGGACCCTCATCCCCAGCAGCAGAGCCTGGGATCCGCATCCCACATCCCTAGCCCTGCACTGGGATCCACGTCCCACATCCCGGGCACCAGGGAGCAGGATCCACATCCCAGCCCGAGTCCGGCCTCCACCTCCCCAGTCCCAGAGTGGGACCCTCATCCCCAGCAGCAGAGCCTGGGATCCGCATCCCACATCCCTAGCCCTGCACTGGGATCCACGTCCCACATCCCGGGCACCAGGGAGCAGGATCCACATCCCAGCCCGAGTCCGGCCTCCACCTCCCCAGTCCCAGAGTGGGACCCTCATCCCCAGCAGCAGAGCCTGGGATCCGCATCCCACATCCCTAGCCCTGCACTGGGATCCACGTCCCACATCCCGGGCACCAGGGAGCAGGATCCACATCCCAGCCCGAGTCCGGCCTCCACCTCCCCAGTCCCAGAGTGGGACCCTCATCCCCAGCAGCAGAGCCTGGGATCCGCATCCCACATCCCTAGCCCTGCACTGGGATCCACGTCCCACATCCCGGGCACCAGGGAGCAGGATCCACATCCCAGCCCGAGTCCGGCCTCCACCTCCCCAGTCCCAGAGTGGGACCCTCATCCCCAGCAGCAGAGCCTGGGATCCGCATCCCACATCCCTAGCCCTGCACTGGGATCCACGTCCCACATCCCGGGCACCAGGGAGCAGGATCCACATCCCAGCCCGAGTCCGGCCTCCACCTCCCCAGTCCCAGAGTGGGACCCTCATCCCCAGCAGCAGAGCCTGGGATCCGCATCCCACATCCCTAGCCCTGCACTGGGATCCACGTCCCACATCCCGGGCACCAGGGAGCAGGATCCACATCCCAGCCCGAGTCCGGCCTCCACCTCCCCAGTCCCAGAGTGGGACCCTCATCCCCAGCAGCAGAGCCTGGGATCCGCATCCCACATCCCTAGCCCTGCACTGGGATCCACGTCCCACATCCCGGGCACCAGGGAGCAGGATCCACATCCCAGCCCGAGTCCGGCCTCCACCTCCCCAGTCCCAGAGTGGGACCCTCATCCCCAGCAGCACTGCGCTGCAGCATGCTGCATCGCGCTGCATCGCTGTGTGCTGCACCACGCTGCGGTGCGCCGCATTGCACTGCACTGCAGCATGCTGCATCGCGCTGCATCGCTGTGTGCTGCACCACGCTGCATTGCACCGCATCGCACTGCACTGCAGCATGCTGCATCGCGCTGCATCGCTGTGTGCTGCACCACGCTGCATTGCACCGCATTGCATTGCACTGCAGCATGCTGTATTGCTCTGCACTGCACTGCTCAGCCCTGCACCTTGCTGTGCTGCACGGCTCTGCATTGCACCGCGCTGCATTGCTCTGCACTGCACCCTGCCCTGCTGCTGTGCACGGCATTGCAGAGCACTGCATGGCACTGCACCGCACTGCATCACTGTGTGCTGCACCATGCTGCATTGCACCGCATTGCACTGCACTGCAGCATGCTGCATTGCACTACAGCATGCTGCATGCTGCACGGCTCTGCACTGTGCTGCACTGCTCAGCCCTGCACCTTCCTGTGCTGCATGGCCCTGCATTGCACCGCACTGCATTGTTCTGCACCCCACCCTGCTGCCGTGCACGGCATTGCAGAGCACTGCATGGCACTGCACCGCACTGCATCACTGTGTGCTGCACCACCCTGCATTGCACCGCATTGCATTGCACTGCAGCATGCTGCATTGCGCTGCACTGCTCAGCTCTGCACCTTGCTGTGCTGCATGGCTCTGCCTTGCACTGCACTGCATTGTTCTGCACTGCACCCTGCCCTGCTGAGGCTGACTGGCACCAGGAACCCATCTGGGCTGGCACCAGGAACTAGGAACCCAGCTGGGCTGGCACCAGGAACCAGGAACCAGCAACCCAGGCTGACTGGCACCAGGAACCCATCTGGGCTGGCACCAGGAACTAGGAACCCAGCTGGGCTGGCACCAGGAACCAGGAACCAGCAACCCAGGCTGACTGGCACCAGGAACCCATCTGGGCTGGCACCAGGAACTAGGAACCCAGCTGGGCTGGCACCAGGAACCAGGAACCAGCAACCCAGGCTGACTGGCACCAGGAACCCATCTGGGCTGGCACCAGGAACTAGGAACCCAGCTGGGCTGGCACCAGGAACCAGGAACCAGCAACCCAGGCTGACTGGCACCAGGAACCCATCTGGGCTGGCACCAGGAACTAGGAACCCAGCTGGGCTGGCACCAGGAACCAGGAACCAGCAACCCAGGCTGACTGGCACCAGGAACCCATCTGGGCTGGCACCAGGAACTAGGAACCCAGCTGGGCTGGCACCAGGAACCAGGAACCAGCAACCCAGGCTGACTGGCACCAGGAACCCATCTGGGCTGGCACCAGGAACTAGGAACCCAGCTGGGCTGGCACCAGGAACCAGGAACCAGCAACCCAGGCTGACTGGCACCAGGAACCCATCTGGGCTGGCACCAGGAACTAGGAACCCAGCTGGGCTGGCACCAGGAACCAGGAACCAGCAACCCAGGCTGACTGGCACCAGGAACCCATCTGGGCTGGCACCAGGAACTAGGAACCCAGCTGGGCTGGCACCAGGAACCAGGAACCAGCAACCCAGGCTGACTGGCACCAGGAACCCATCTGGGCTGGCACCAGGAACTAGGAACCCAGCTGGGCTGGCACCAGGAACCAGGAACCAGCAACCCAGGCTGACTGGCACCAGGAACCCATCTGGGCTGGCACCAGGAACTAGGAACCCAGCTGGGCTGGCACCAGGAACCAGGAACCAGCAACCCAGGCTGACTGGCACCAGGAACCCATCTGGGCTGGCACCAGGAACTAGGAACCCAGCTGGGCTGGCACCAGGAACCAGGAACCAGCAACCCAGGCTGACTGGCACCAGGAACCCATCTGGGCTGGCACCAGGAACTAGGAACCCAGCTGGGCTGGCACCAGGAACCAGGAACCAGCAACCCAGGCTGACTGGCACCAGGAACCCATCTGGGCTGGCACCAGGAACTAGGAACCCAGCTGGGCTGGCACCAGGAACCAGGAACCAGCAACCCAGGCTGACTGGCACCAGGAACCCATCTGGGCTGGCACCAGGAACTAGGAACCCAGCTGGGCTGGCACCAGGAACCAGGAACCAGCAACCCAGGCTGACTGGCACCAGGAACCCATCTGGGCTGGCACCAGGAACTAGGAACCCAGCTGGGCTGGCACCAGGAACCAGGAACCAGCAACCCAGGCTGACTGGCACCAGGAACCCATCTGGGCTGGCACCAGGAACTAGGAACCCAGCTGGGCTGGCACCAGGAACCAGGAACCAGCAACCCAGGCTGACTGGCACCAGGAACCCATCTGGGCTGGCACCAGGAACTAGGAACCCAGCTGGGCTGGCACCAGGAACCAGGAACCAGCAACCCAGGCTGACTGGCACCAGGAACCCATCTGGGCTGGCACCAGGAACTAGGAACCCAGCTGGGCTGGCACCAGGAACCCAGTTCGGCTGGCACCAAGGACCCATCTGGGTTGGGACCGGGACCAGGAAGCAGCCCAGCTGGGACTGGGACCAGGAACCCAGCCTGACTAGCGCCAAGAACCCAGCCTAGCTGGGACCGGGACCACGAACCCAACCTGGCTGGTACCAGGAACCAGCCCAGCTGGGACTAGGACCAGGAACCAGCAACCCAGCCTAACTCAGTTGGGCTGGTACCAGGAACCAGTACCTAGCCGGGCTGGTGGTACCAGGAACCAGTAACCCAGGCCAGCTGGTCCCAGTCACCCAGCCCAGCTGGTGCCAGCAGCAGAGCCCCAGGCAGCACCGAAGCAGCGGACGGAGCGGGGCAGGACCCCCCCCCCTGCACAGCACCCCGGGCACCCGGTCCCACTGCCACAGCCCCCAACAGGGACCGGGACCGCGACCCGCGGAACCGGGCGGGATTCAAACATCGGCTC